TTATGAAAAAGAAGTTATATAGTGCCCAGGGCCTGGCACTTCAGGGAGTGTCTCTGGTGTGTGCAGCATTTGCTCTGCTATCGTGTTTTGTCTTTTCTATCCAATGGATCAGTTGTCTGCAGAGGCTTTCCTTGCTTGCTGTGGATAGTGTTTGATCTTTGGCCAGAATATTGTGAGTTTTAACTAGGTGTGCTCTCATCTGCTTGTTAAATGAGAACGGATACTGCTTTCCCTAGAACTGAAGCCCTTCAAAACTCTCTGGTCAAAAGATGTGGTGTGGAAAAGGGTTTCTGCTGGTCCTCTGGGGAGGGAGTCTTATGTGTTGGGCCTGAGGCAAGCTTGACTGAGAAGGGTGGTCTGCTCAGAGCACAGGGGTATGGAACTTGGGATAAGTAAGTTAGGCAGTTTGTGTTGGCATGTTGCTGCTTCCCACAGGTGGCTCTGTGTTTATGGTGAGGATTCAAGTGTGAGAAATGGCACCAGCCATCTCTGCTGTCCCTGGAGAGGCATCTCTGAACACTGCCTCTCAAGGAAGCACTCTGAGAAGAGTGAATAATCTCTCTACTTGTGTCCCAGCTTTTTTCAGATCACTTGCTTCCAGGTTTTTTGGTCTGTGTTTTCACTAGGAGCAGTGCAGTGCCCTCTAGGCTCTCTCCCAGCCAATCGTGCTGACCTTCAAAACTACAATCTTTATATTTTTTAAATTTAAATTCAATTATCCAAAAACTCCAGTATTCAGAGATGTGATGTGGGCAAGGCTTTGTGCTGATCTTCTGGGGGAGGGGCCTGCCAAGTCTCGCTGAGTTCTTCCACTTTTCTTTCCAGCCTGGTGAGCATCTTTGCAATCATTACTTTAAATTCCTTATCAGGCATATTGCTTATCTCCATTTCATTTAGTTCTTTTTCTGAAGTTTTGTCTTATTTTTTCTTTTAAAGCATATTACTCTGACTCTACCATTTTGCTTGACTCTCTGTGTTTGTTTTTATGGATTAAGCAGAACAGCTACTTCTCCTAAATGTAAAGGAATCTCCTTGTGTATGGTTGTTTCCTTTGTAGTATATGTGTAGTTAGTGACTTTTTCTGGTTGGGTGAAGCAGTGGCTGGTATGGCCTGGAGGTTCTGGGGCCCTCCACATTATGAGCACCTTGGAAGGGCAGCTGAAGTTGAAGTGGGTGCAGAGGGTGTTGATCAGTGTAGTCCCTGGGTTCTTCATGCATTGGGTGTCCTGGCAAGACAGCTAAGGCTAAAGTAGGTGTAAACTAGGGTGTCCCAGTGCTCTCCCCATAGGTGGTGTCCTGGAGGGGTCCTGGAGCTGAGGTGACATGTGGCCTGGGAGATCCCATGGCTCTCCATGCAGCGAGTACCCAGGCAGTACAACTAAAGCTGAAGTGGATGTAGGCTGGGAGATCCCAGGGCTTTTTGTGAAGAATGCAACCTGGAGGACAGCTGAAGCTTAAATGTATGCAAGCCAGGGTGTTCTGGAATGGTCTGTGCAGAGGATATACTAGTGGAGTGGTTGGCACTGAGGTGGTACAAAGCCCAGGAGGTTCCTGTGGTCCCTACACAAAGGATACCTTGACAGGATAGCTAAAAGTAAAGTGGGTGCAAGCTGGGAGGACCTGGAGCTCTTTGCACAGAAGGTATATTGTCAGGATAGCTGAAGCTGAAGTGGATCCAAAGTGATGTGGGCCTGGAATGCTCTGGTGTGCTCTGCACCTGTGGCCACTTGGGGGGGGGGTGGCTATGGCTGATATGGGCTAGGGGCCCAGGGCTTCTAACTAGGGTTTCCTGAGGCAGCAAGCCAGCTATGGAAACCAGACCCTGCTCTTACCTGTTCTTTTAACATGGAGGGGGAGCATAAACCCAAACGTTCTCCAGTCCTTCTGACTTAGAATTCTTTCAGCTCCTTTGGCCCTTGAAATTGCACCTTTTTGTGTGTGTGTGTGCCCCAGAGCTACCAGGGCTGGTGTAGACTTGTGGACCAAGGGATCACTGAGGCGGCAAGCTAGCTATGCATCAGGATGTTGCTTCATTTTGCACTTTCAGGGTGGAGTGGGAATTAAACCATGCTTTTCTCCAGTTTTTCTGACCTGGAGCAGCTCCTCTGTCATTTGGCCGAGTTCTAGTGTTGTATCTTTTATATATGGTAGTTGCTTTTTTAAACCACAGTGTGTGTGTGTGTGTGTGTGTGTGTGTGTGTGTGTGTGTGTGTTTTCCCTGTGCCCAAGGACAGAGGACTCTGTTCCTGGTACTTTAGTACTATCACTTTTCAATGCTGTTTGCAGTGTCAGGAGTGGGAGTTCCCTTTATTACAATGTGTTCATCTCTTTTTTCTCTTTGGCCATTCTATCTTTTGTTGTGTAGAGGCAGTTCAGTCAGCCCTAAGTCCTTCTTCAAGAGGAATTGTTCTATAAATCAGTGTAATTTGGTATGTTCCTTGGAGGAGGTAAGTTCAGGGTCTTCCTATGTAGTCATCTTGGACCAGACACTGTCTCTAGGAATTTAGCCATTTCTTCTAGGTTGTTTAGTATGTTGTCATATAATAACATAGTGAAAAATATTTTATAGTGAAAAATATTTTCATAGTGGAAAATATTTTATTTATTAAAGTATTGTTGAAAGACAATGTTACATTTGTTTTAGGTGTACAATATAGTGTCTGGACAACTATATTCTCACTGCAAGTGTAGTTACCATCTGTCTCCATACAATGTTAGCACAATACCACTGACTATATTCCCTATGCTATGCCTTTCATCCCCATGACTTATTTTTTTCATAACTGAGGGCTTGTATTTTCCACTTCCCTTCACCCATTTTGCCCACTCTCCCCTCTAACAACCACCAATTTGCTTTCGGTATTTATGGGCTTATTTCTGCTTTATTTTTTTGTTTTGTTTTTTAGATTCCACATATAAATAAAATTATATAGTACTTGTCTTTCTCTGTCTCACTTATTTATGGTCTCACTTGTTTATGGTTTTATACTGTGTTTGGAAGGACACACTTTATAGCACTGCCAAGTCATGTGAAATGAAATCCTATCCCTTTCCTCCAAATTCCCCCTCTATTGGCAATTCTGATGATTTTTCCTGAGTTCATATTATTCTCATACTTACCAGCACTATAGCAGTGGGAAAACTAACACCTGGGCATCTTCCCTACCTGTCTGTTTCATGCTGGGTTCATCCAATATTAACTCTTTAAGACCCATAGGCTGTCCCAATTTACCCATTGTTCAACTTTTTAGAAGCAATCAGCGTGGTAGCTGTTTCTAAGGCTACCTTGGAGTGTATTGGCAGTTAAATATATTTCCTTTCCTTTTTTTTTTTCTTAAGTGCTTTGACTTTTAGTAATGTACTGTAATTGCTTTATGGGACTTTCTGGACACTTAGACATGATTAACATGTGTTTAGAAATGTTAGGAAAATACTGAATATTTTTTGGTCGTGTGCCTCAAGAATGATTAAGACACTGGGAAGTCTTGCAGTATATTTATTAATGGGGCCTCTGAGATTATGTATTAATTCACCCAAAGGGAACAATACAATTGAAGCTAATTTCTCTTGTAGTTGAGTACTAGTGAGAAGGTAAGAAATCTAAAGAAAGAGGCCCCATTATATTGTCATAATTAGCTTTATATTGTCTTAATTAGCTTTTTAATCAGCCTTGACAGGCAATATCCACTTTATTATACTAGAATTGGTACATGTAATGTATGGCAATTTGTTTTATCATCCAAAGTGTTTAATAACTGTAATTTAGTGTGGTTTATATTTATGTTAGAATACCAAACTATGTGCTAAGAGGTCGGAATTCTCACATGCAAACTAGGCACAAATTTAGTACACTCTCTGTAACTTTTTAAGATGATGGCAATAAATATATCTCTCCCCAATTCATCTGTTAATTTTCCGTCTTCAAATTTTCTATCAAATTTCTGTTTGATTTTTAAGTTTTTACAATGTTTATGTCTACAAATAATAATGATAAAATGTCTTCTCTTTTTACATCATATTCTAATTATAGAAGCAATACTTAATATTTTGAAGAAATTTTGGAATAAAGAAAATAAATCACTTATAATCCTCTCACATAGAATAATTCTCTTATTAATATTTTGATGTATCTATTTCTTAGCATTTTTTCTAAATTTATATATACACTTTCTTCTACAAAATTGAGATTACATTATATAGAGTCTGTATCCCTTTTCCTTTTAGCATTATATTGTGAGCATTCCCCACATCCTAAAATTTTAAAATAATGTGATCTTTATTGGTAAATTATACTAAATTAAATGTGATAACTATTTTTAGTAAGAATTTATGTGTATCTTTTCTGCTGTCATTATCATTTTTTAAACTTAATATATGTGGTTAAAACTTATCTCCAACTAATCCTCCACATAAATTATCTAAACCTCTGATGACACCTCTTCTTTGCTCATCTGTTGTGAATATCTGAATATTCTAAAATAAAGTGGTAATAGATGTAGAGAGAGAAGAGAGAAAATTGAAGTAGTGGTAGGAAATAGTCATCAGGGTTGCTATAAATTGGGAATTGTTATTAACCATCTGTGGCCTTAAAGAGAGGTGTAATAATAGTGGAAATATTTATAATGATTGAATAAAAAAAGAGATTCATTTATTTTTTTTAAATGCATTTTTGGGCACCTGGGTGGCTCAGTCAGTTCAGTGTCTGCCTTCAGCTTAAGTCATGATCCCAGGATCCTGGGATTGAGCCTGGCATCAGACTCGCTGCTCAGTGAGGAGCTTGCTTCTCCCTCTCCCCCTGCCTGCTGCTTCCCCTGTTTGTGCTCTCTTTCTGTGTCAAATAAATAAATAAAATCCTTAAAAAAGTGAAAACACATTTTTGACATCATCAAGAAATAAAATGTCTATTGTTAATGTCTTGGTACTAAGAAAAAGACTGTTTGGGGTATTTCTTTGCTACCTATTGTTGATCCTTTACCCTTTCATTCTATATCTTCCTAAAGCCATGGGAATAAAGAAGAGTTCTCCTGCAGAGGAATACAACTTGCTGTGGACTGGTTTCTAGACAAAGGCCATAAAGATATTACTGTATTTGTGCCTGCATGGAGAAAGGAGCAATCCCGCCCTGATGCACCAATTACAGGTACTATTTCAAATAGGACATTTCTTCTCATCCAGAGGAAAAGTTAGCAAGATAGTTTAGGGAGAGGTTGATGGTCCCAACTTAATTATTTTTCTAAGTTTATTAAGTATCTTAAAATGTCTTGTATTAAGTAGATTTTAAAACATTATTTTTCCTGATCCAAATAAAACCATTATTATGTTGTGGCATATGGCAGTTAAATTGAGACAACTTCAATTTAGCAAGGAATAAAGCAAGCAGTTTAAAAAAAAAGGAGTGCTTTTTATTTGACAATGGACTTCAGACTAAAGGGGGATGAACACGGTTATGAGTGTGACTGTGTTTTCCAAAAGACTAAAGAAACCATGATAGAAAATGGATCACATTCTGTACCAGAGAAGTGATTGTGAGATTTGCAAAGTATAAGGTAAAATATATAGAGAGAAAAGTCCCATGACAGTCAGAACCAACTTATCCATGAAACACAGCAAGCCCATTGCCCAGGGCCATGATACATTTAGGGTCCTACAAAGATGTTTTGAAGCACAGGCAAGATGTCAGAGTAAGAGGACCCCAAGCTCACCCCATCCCATGTTTGCAACTAGATATCACTCATATCCATGTCAATAAACAAAAGTGATATGAAGACTGGCAGAACAACTCCATAACTAAATGTAGAGAAGAAGCCACATCAGAGAGGTTAGGAAGGGCAGAAATGGTAGTTTAGTCTGAAGCAGCCTGAAAGAGGGAGGAAACTATGGTTGCAGAGAGGAAAAGCACCAGGGAGTCCACACAGGGAAAACAAATCCCCGTAATGTCTGCTTTGAATATCAGAGGCGCTGAATTCTGTGAGTTTATATAACCAGCAAGACTTTGAGCCTAAAGCTTTAAAAGTCCACTGACTCAGCCAGCAATGGGTGAGCTGGGAGGGCAAGTGATAGCTGGGTCTCCATCCTTAAAGAGACATCAGCCCAAGGAGAGGCAACATAGAAGCAACATCTTACAAAACAGGAGGAAGATTTGTTTATACTGATTTTTGAGAATGTTGGGGGACTTCTCTGGGAGCAAAGGAACTGACAGTTGCCATTTTCATTCCCCACCCTCCAACATAAACATAACCACCTACAGGAGACTGTACTGCAAAGACACTTGTTACCTAACCTCCTAGCAGTGTGCCCTGCCCAGGAGTTCTCTTGAGGACTTGCTTTTCCTAAGTCAGCTGGCCTTGGCCCTAGGCTTAGTGCAAATTTTGTTAATGCCACAGGTGTCCCACCAAGTCAGCCATGTACACATATATCTTGTGCCTCAACCACCACAATTAGTACCTAGTCGCTGCACACACGGATGGCGAACACCTCTGGCTGTTGCCACAGTTGTGTGCTGCAACCCTATCATCACACTTTGAGGAATTGGCTTAGGTAAGTACACATTTTGATAATGTCACATATGCCCTGCCGACATGACACCAGCCACCTCGACTTTCAGCCACTGATTGCACAGCCAGCAGGTGCTCCTTGCTATCACCTCAGCCACATGCCCAGCTCCCAGCCACTGCCACTAACATGTGCTGTGACTTTGGTCACAAATGTACTTTGGGGGATCTGACCTAGGACTTGTGACTCACTAAAAATTTTGCTAACACTGCTACCTACCCCTGAACCCTTGTACAGTCTCATCCCCTCAGGGATGGACTACCTGGGTCTCACTAACACCACAAAGAGCAAGCACAGCCCACAACAGGCAGAGAATCAGAGCAGAAGCTTAGACTGAAAGGGAAAGCTACTCAAACACAATAGCCAGATGCAAGCAACACACATGGGAAAAATCCCATGAAGTGCCAGGTTCTGATGAATAGGAGATACTGCAGTGCTGGACACTACAGGATTTCCTCTTTATAAAGCCACTACTTTCAGGAGCAGAGAGCATAGCTGACTTTTCTAACACAAAGAAACAGAGAAGTAAACAAAATGAGGAGACAGACAAATTTGTCCCAAATGAAAGAACAAGAGAAAATCACAGCAAAACTAAGCAAAACAGAAATAAGTAGTATACCTGATAGAAAATTTAAAGCAATTATTCATAAAAGTGTGCACTGGACTTGACATGACAGTGGATAATATCAGTGAGACATTTAACAAAGAGATTTAAAAAAAAGAAGCAATCAGAGATGAAGAGCTCAATAAATGAAATTAAAAATGAAATATTTGGAATAAACAGTAGGAAACAAGAAGCAGAGGAATGTATTAGTGACCTGGAGTTTAGAGTAATAGAAAGCAATCATGCTGAACATATGAGAGACAAATACTGCATAATGAGAATAGACTTAGAAAATTCAGTGACTCCATCAAGCAGAGTAATGTTTGCATTTTAGGGGTCACAGAAGGAGAAGAGAGAAAAATGTGGGCAGAAAATTTATTTAAAGAAATAATAGCTGAAAACATTCCTAATCTGGGAAAGGAAACAGATATCCAGATGCAGGAGGCACAGAGAAACCTGAGCAAAATCAACAAAAGCAGATCCACACCAAGACATATTGTAACGAAAATGGCAAAATGCAGTGATAGAGAAAAAAAATTTTAAAGCAGCAAAACAAAAGAGATAGTTATATATAAGAGAAGGTCCCATAAGGCTATCAGTGGATTTTTCAGCAGAAACTTTGCAAACCACAAGAGAGTGGCACAATATATTCACATTGCTGAATAGGAAACATCTGCAGTGGAGAATACTCCACCCAGTTAAACTAGCATTCAGAATAGAAGGAGAGATAAAGAGTTTCCCAGACAAATAAAAACTAAAGGAGCTCATGACCACTAAACCAGCCTTGCAAGAAATATTAAAAGGAACACTTTCAATGCAAAGGAAAGACCAAAGGTAACAATATGAAAGTAGGAAACACAAAAGAAGTAAAAATAATTATTTCTATTAAAAAATCAGAGTAAAGAACTCACAAAATAAATTATGACAATATATACCTAAAATGTTGGGAGGAGAGGAGTAAAAGAATGGGTTCAAACTTAAATTACCATCAACTTAATATAGACTGCTATATACAGAAGATATTACATACAAACGTAATGGTAACCACAAGTCAAAAACCACTAATAGATGCAAAGAATAAAGAGAAAGAAAACCAAATGTATCATTAAGGAAAACAAACAATGAAAGAGAATAAGAGAAGAAAGGATCACAGAAACAACCACAAAGTACATAAAAATGGCAATAAATATCTATCTATCAATAATTACTTTGAATGTAAATGGAATACATGCTCCAATTAAAAGACATAGGGTGACAGAATAGATAAAAAGAAAAAAAAAAAAAACCCAAGACACATCTCTATGCTACTTGCTTGAAACTCATTTTAGACCTAAAGACACCTGAAAATTGAAGGTGAGGGATGGAGAAACATCTATCATGCAAAATGGATGTCAAAAAAGCTGGAATATCAATACTTATATCAGACAAAACAGATTTTAAAACAAAGACAGTAAGGAGACAAAAAAGGACACTATATGATAAGGGGACAATGAAACAAGAAGACATAACAACTATAAATATTTAAGTACTCAACATGGGAGAACTAAATACATAAAATAGTTAATAATAAACATGAACTAATCAACAGTAATAAAATAAGAGTAGGGGACTTTAACATCCCAATTACATCAACAGGAAGACCAAAAATAAGAAAATCAATTAGGAAACAATAGCTTTGAGGACATGTTGGGCCAAGTGGATTTAACATATATAGTTAGAACATCCCATCCGAAAACACCAGAACACACATTCTTTTCAGGTGCATATGGAACATTTTCTAGAACGGATCACATATTAGGGCACAAAACAAGTCACAGCAATTGAAAAGATCAAAATCATATCATACATCTTTTTCCACCACAACACTATGAAACTAGAAATCAACCAAAAGAAAAAAAATTGAAAAGAACACAAATACATGGAAATTAAATAACATGCTACTAAACAATGAATGGGTTAAGCAAGAAATCAAAAAAGATATCTGTAAGTACATGGAAACAAATGAAAATGAAAACACAATGGTCCAAATCCTGTGGAATGCAGCAAAAGCAGTTCTAAAAGGGAAGTTTACAGGCATACCTCAGGAAACCAGAAAAATCTCAAATAAAAAAACTTAACCTTACCCCTAAAGGATCAAGGTGTAGATCTAGAAAAGGATCTAGATCTAGATCTAGAAAGGATCTAGAAAAACGAACAAGTGCAACCCCAAAAACACCAAAAGGAAGGAAATAATAAATATTAGAGCACAAATAAATGATACAGAAACTAAAAACAAAACAAAACAAAACAAAAAAAACAAACACAAAAAAATAGAAGAGACCAATGAGACCAGGACTGGTTATTTGAAAAGATTAAAAAAAAAAAATCATAAACCTCTAGCCAGACTGATCAAAAAACAAATAGAAATGACTCAAATAAATAAAATTAAAAATGAGAGAGGAGAAATATCAATCAAAACAACAGAAATAAACACTGGGGTACAGATGGCCCTTCTTTTCACTACATCTGTATCTTTGGGGTAAACACCCAGTAGTGCAATTGCAGGGTCACAGGGAAGTTCTATTTTTAATTTCTTGAGGAATCTCCACACTGTTCTCCAAAGAGGCTGCACCAACTTGCATTCCCACCAACAG